TAATCATGAATAGGGCTAATGCATAAAAGAATTTGTTGAAAAAATTCATAAAGATCATGTAGATCATAAAGAAATTAGAGCTACAAATACTGCAGGAAATAGAATAGATGAGAATCTGCATTATAAATCTCAACCTAACAAAGTATAATGCATGAAATCACACCAATTAATACTATTTTAAAAGAATTACCTAAAATTTTCAGACAAAATATTAACAAGTTACATGCCCTAATTTTTTTCTTTCACAGATCGTGTAGCAGCAAAAGTAGAGTCAAGGTAGGCTAATTATTTTTTAAGACAATAAAAGGCTGAAATAGCTTAACCTAGTGCCTTTGAATTTATTCCTGAGTACTATATGCTAATTAAATATATTTATAAAGACTTATAATGAAGTATAGTTGGCAAATAGATTAAAATTCCTTTGTAATCTATGGCTTGCAGAAACTTGACAATATCATGTGTAATGACTTTAGATTTCTTAAATAATCATCTCAATTAAGTACAAATTGGCCAATCTGTGAACATCACACCCAAAACACCAAATCATTGGCATTATCATACTATCTAAAGTTTTAAAGGTTCTCAGTAGGAGACAGAAATCAAAACAAAACATCATTTTGGCTTCCAAAATGAATTTAAAATCATTCCAAATCATTTAAAAATGATTGTTATGTGGTCTCAAAAATTTTCAAAATACCTAAGTATTAGATAGATTAGGTATCTCCATCCCATTAGTTATTCTGTTATAAATTCTTTAGCTTCATCTTGAAAGAAAACATTCTCATAAATAATACTGAATAGAAAAGTGTGATATAAACCTTTTGGTGTATTTAACACCTTTATACAATCTAGAATGAATTACTTCATCTGGAATGCCCAATTAATTTTTTAGAAAACATGATTTAAGGGCTCTTGGTGGCTCAGTTGGTTAAGCACCTGACTTCCTATCAGGTCATGATCTTGCAGTTTGTGAGTTCCAGCCCCGAGTCAGGTTCTGTGCTTACAGTTCAGAGCCTGGGGCCTGCTTTGGATTCTGTGTCTCCCTCTCTCTCTGCCCCTCTCCTGCTTGTGCTGTCTCAAAACTAAATAAACGTTAAATTTTTTTTTAA